GAAAGCTGCTCTCCACACTTCTCAGGTTTCAAATGGCCCTTGATCTAATTCCCAATTAGTATAAAAAGAGGTCAAAGTCATAGTACTTGCTTCATCTTTGTTTTCTCCAACTGAGAGGAAGGCTGCCGTTTCTGGAGTGAGCGTTGGGTGTGCGTAAATCAGCAGGCATCTTAAAAACCTAATCTTGCTTGAATGCGGATAGTTCAAAAAATTAAATCTTGTCCTCAAGACCTGGCAAGAAGGGGGTCCCATTGCTTGAGACCTGTTTATCCAACCCTTTAACCTAAGACAAATCTACAAAATTAAAATCAGAACATAAACGGTATCATTATAAACATCATATGCAAATTTTCTTCCAGTGTGGGTAAGGTCACATCATTTACCCACTCCACTATTCGAAAGTCATTAAAGCATTGAACTCAGTAATAAGCCCTTGATCTTGAGCACAGGGAAGTGCTAAGTTGCTTTCCTTCCCAAGGTCTGGTATAACTGGGGGGTGTCTGCAGGGATATTGAAGCAATATGAGTATGCTGAGGGACGAGAAAGAGAACAGGGCACAGGCCAGAGAGCAAGTTTTAGAAGACTTCGTGGGAGATCCTGAGCAATTTAGACAAAAGGGGCTGCAGGATTTTAAGTCAGTTTTTACCCATGGTTGGAGTTTAGAAAACCTTTGGGCTGTGGAATACAATTCTTTTAATTCTTAAGGAATCACATTCCTGAAAACCTCCCCTTATAGAGCAAGCACGGGTGGAAAGTGCTTGCTGTGTGGAGGACCATTCTCAGCCAATGCAGCGTCTTTTGTGTTGCAATCATTCTCAGTACTCATAATCAAAACTTATGCATTTTAGACTTTTTATGTGTTATCAGGACATGCACTCCCCTGGAAACTGATATGTAGGGTGGTATTAAATCTTCAAGGAACCCTCATAGGGCAATGCAGCGCTGCCCATAGTGTTTCCAAAGTTGTTAACTCTGTACTGAAGCAGACTGCCACATCTTGCTCCCCTGGGAGGACCGTTGGACTCCACTGGAGCTGGCTTTTATGCACGGCACCCCCCTGGCTCCTTCGAGGGTGGCTACGGGCTGCAGGGGTTCACACAGGACAAGGATGGCGAGGGTGGTGCAAGCGCAGCTGGGGTTCATTCTGCTGTAGAGGAGGCATCACCGGCTCAATGGCACCTAACACCTACTTGGAATCAACCTGCTCCCACCAGCTTTTATGGTGTCCTAGTGCCACCCAACTCCATGGGAGTGGGGGTTGCGGGTCATCTTTAAAAGGCCTAGGAAGTGTGCTTTGAATGTGTGCTGGTGGACAGCAAACACACTGCTTCTGAAAGGACCATTGGAGAGGATCCTCAGAGATAGAAAGGCTGTAAGTCTCCTTAATGATTGAGAGACGGGAATCTGGAGATGGGTAGACCTGAGGCTGAAACCTGGCTGTGCATCTTCACATGGGTGACCTAAGCTCTCTGTCCCACGTCTCATGTAAAGTAGGCTTTCTAGTCCTACTGACTTCACGGGGTTGTTCAGCCTGGAACATAATCTCGGCTTCACCAATTTTAGCTGCAAGGACGAGTTGGTGCTGACACACTGAAAGTCCTGTGCGAATCTTATTTACACCCGATCGACTTTTGTGTTCCTTTGAAACACCTCTGTCGTGAGCGACACAGGAGATAAGAGGTCCAGAATCACTGACACAGTGGGAGTCCTTAACGCCCTGCCCTCCCATTGCCACCACCATGGTAGCTTTTTAAAAGAATAGTTCACTTGTTGCTTTTCCTGCTTGGTTGGATCAGGTGAGCAAAGTGCTGGGGAGAGGCACGGAGCACTATCTGCTTCAGACTCTG